CGGCGTACCCGCGCCCGTAGGCCTCCTGCGGCAGCCAATTGGGCCAATACAGGTGCTGCTCCTCAGGAGTCTTCGACTGGTTGGCGGCCGGGTAGTAGAGGCGCACCAAAACGCCGCCCTTTTTCGTCAACCCCGTCATTATGTCCCGAAAGCCGACGACCCGGAAGGGCCCGGTAGGCATCGGCACGTGTTTGCGGTCATTGCACTGTAGGGCCCGATTGCGACTACTCTTCAGCTTTGCCGGCATTTCTCAAAACTATTTTGTACTCAAAATCTATTTTTCTTTTCTTAATATTTAGTCAAATAATTAATTAATAAAAAAAAGTTTTTTAAGTCTAGTCTTCAGTGGAAGTAATCGTTTATCACATCATTTGAACGCTATTTTCAATGCACCTGTAATTCAGACAATAGTTATGTGTGAGAGAAATATTTCGCATACAAATTACACATAACTGTAAAACACGTAAAACTTTGAAAACTTTTTAATTAAACACTTTTGTTGTGACTTAAGGCTAATTACAACAAATATTGATAGCTTTCCGTAAGCGTGTATTTCATACCAAATAGTGTTTTACTGTTAATTAATGGCGAAAATAGTGCAAAATATGTGAACTTTTCAATTGTGGATGTATTCAACAGATGTGTTGAGAAAATAAAACTGTTTTTCACTTTGGACTCAAAAAAACTTTTTCCTCAAAACAAAAATGCATTGAAAACCCATAAATAATAATACACTTCAGGTTTTGGTTGAATAAAACTCGCGTAAAATAATAGCAAAAAATGAGAGCAAAAGTAAAAGCAAAACAAAACTGTTTGAATAAATTAACTGATCAAATAGCGTGATGCTCAGGGTAGTTATTGTGACACATATGGATAGCTATGTTTTGCGATAACATAACACAGGTATGAGTCAAACAGTTATTTATAGCTAATCGACATAATTATGCATTCATTTCACTGAACAATACAATTAACTATTTATTATTCATACTATGAATACATGTATGGATTATACGGTTAGGTATTGTTTACGCAAATCATAATACGACTCAATACTAGCGTAATATTAATGTCATAACAAATAGGATAACAAAACTTACATTTAAATTGCCATCAAATGGTCTGTTTGGTCACAAACTCATGTTTAATCGGATTTAAAGTTTTTTTTTTCAAGAAAGCACTTAATTTTTGAACACAAAATACATGTAATAATCATTTGTTTTTGTTTGATTAGTTTTAATTAGTTTAGTGTTTGTAATGCACTTATGGATCACATAATACTGTTGAACAGTGTTTTGAAAACAGGTTTTAAAAAACTCAACTAAACTCAGGCTTAAAGACCGCACCCTTTCATTGAATGGCTATTCACGTGGCGCTCACTTTGAACGCATTCAACACTTTTCATTCAATTATCAGTGAATATATTTTTAATTATTAAAAATGTATTCATTTGACATTTGTTTTAATTTGACATTTGTTTTAATTTGGGTTTTTTTGTTAGTTTAATGTTTATCTCGACACTAAGTTTATTATCATAACCCCAGCGGTAGTAATCTTTGCGTAGTATTCAAGTTTTAACAAGTTAGTTTAGTGACTCAAATAAAGCTAATCTTAATATCGGAATAATTTGTTCAATTTTTATTTAAATATTTGATTAATCAAAATAGTTGATAGGTTAACTTAAATCTACTAGTTAAGCAAAATAAATGTTACAAGTGAAAAATAAGTTATTTAATACCGGTATAATTGTTTAAATTTTGATGACAAAATAGCTAATCATGAAACACGTAATCTTAAATCAATATCAAACCCTGGAAACTATTTTTTGCCTTGGAAATTAGGCTATTAATAACTTATACCGGTACTTTAAATTATAATATTCTCACGAATCTGTATTCAAATACAAGTCCTAACGACCTTTGAATCCAAAGTTATGCAATTCATATGAAGAATCATACTCTTGGACCAGTTATCCAAATATCTTGTGATAACTTAATTCACTAATTAACAAAAATATCATGAGTTCTCACTCTTTCTTGACTCATACTCTCAATTCAATTCTCTAATCACTTCAGAAAAACGAAACTGATTTAATAACAAATTATTAGTCTATGGATTACTTATTATAAGATATGATAAGACATGAGACGCGAGAATAAAGAGTGGATTCACATCCAAGGCTTCGGTTCCCAGAAATTCATACAAAAACCAAATTCTTAGACAATATTCGGGTTTTCATATATTCTGAACCATTTCATTACGGCATTAGACTTATTAGACATGTCATAACATTTACTAAATTCTTATCGCATAATTATTTACATAATTTTCATATACAATAAACAAAACTAATCGCATCTAGAAATTGCTGCCAAAAGACAACTGCCAATCAATCCATTCAATCGTTTGATTGTCATTTAAACATAACATTAAATCATTTATTAAACAAGACTTGTTTTGCAATTAGTTTAAAAACATATTTGTTTATCATTAATGATTGGCAGATAGTAAATCATGTTACCGTAAGTGATCATGAAATTGATGTTTTGATACTTGTCTAAAACTTACCAAAAATTAAGTCTATGTTGAATAACAACATTTAAAAAATTAGTCTATAAAAGTCTATACTATAGACTCTAAAGTAATCTGATTGCGAATGCAATCCTATAAACCAAACTAATTACCGGTATTTATGTCATAAATATACTGTAAATCTGAAAAACAGTTTACAATTACCGGTAAATAATTGGTTTAACGAAACAATGAAAACATGAAAAATTAAAAACAATTTTATT